TATTTGTTGTTTACAACAAAGATAAATTCAAATTAAATTCTGATGTCTATAACATGAATACTAGGCAAAAATATAACTTCCACCTACCCTCATCAACTTTATCAGTATATCAAAAAGGAGTCTACTTTACTGGCATAAAAGTGTTCAACAATCTGCCACAAAGTATTAAAAACTTGGGCAATGATACTAAAAAGTTTAAATCAGAGTTAAAGAATTATCTACATGCTCATTCCTTCTACTCTTTAGATGAATACTTCAATGTAAATAGAGAATGATGTAAAATTAAGTTATATTAATTTTTAAGCTAAAATTGCCTGTACTTATGTATGTAACCTTTTGACTTGTTCTGAATCCAAAGGATTTATAGAATGTAAATAAATTCAATTCAAATCACATTCAGAAGGCACTATTCTTCATGGTCACATTTCACATCACGTAACTTTGATCGCAATAATCTGATAATATCAAAGAGTTCTACCTTCTGTGATATAACGCTGTGTAGTCCGCTGCAAATCAATAGACACTTCAGAGGAATATGTCGCCTCCATCTTCAGAGTCAAAGAACGAACCAAGCAAGAAACCAACGTGAAAGCAGGTGGCAAGAACAAATAAGGTGGTATTAGAATCCAAAAATTCAACACCACTGGTATGAATGTCAGCCACTGGAAATGATCATTCAGTTCCAACCACCTTCCATATAATTTACATTCATAAGATCCTTCTTAATGTTATCCTACCATCTCCATCTCAGCTTTCTTTTGTGGGCTATTTTATGATGCTGCCTGCAGCTCAATTATTTACCATTGGATGACAGGATGATGAACGATTAACTGAAAGAGATTTGGAAAGAAGTTGTGGCATAATCAAGGTATCATCTCCACATCTCCTGGAGACAGCAAAAGTATGGAAAACATCAGTTGGACAGTCAGAATTCTGGCCAACCACTTCCCAAACATAAGTATAGTGCATTACTACCATGCCAATCCTTTCAGTATCTCAACAGATGTCTTTGAAGAGATTTTCACACTGAAATTCCATATTCCTGTACTATTCCATCCTTGTCATATGTGTAGTCCATCAGTCTCATTGATTTTATTAATGGGTCTCCCTGTAAAAACGACAGTTTCTTGTTATGTAATGTACCAAACTACTTGCTTACTGCATCGTCCTTAGTTACGAGTATTTTCTTGAACAATTTCCTTCCCTACATCCACAACACACATTATGTCCCCTCAAAATAATAGGAGATCATATCTTGAAAGAATAAATACACCTTGTTACTGGAAAAATGTTTATTACATGCTTATCTCAGTTCAAGTACCTACACATACAAAATCTTGTGAGTACTGCTCAGTGATTCACTAAGAACACGGTGATGAACAAAAATAATCTGTTAATTTTAAGTCAAATACATCCAACAGAATATATCGCCTGACTGTTGGCTGTGTCAAGCGGTTCACAGAAAAAGTCCAAAAGCCCTCAATAACTTAAGAATCAAAATTATATTAAAAAAAAGGGAAACATACATGAAATATTGAAAATACCTACTGGGTATTAAATTATACATTACATTACAATAACTGGTATGTAACTACAGATATTCCTTGACGAATGCTCCATGTTCATTTCACACTAAGTGTTAACTGTTAAGGGTTAGTTAACCAGTGCCCATTACGTTTGATAGAACTTATTTTCTCCAGGTAAAAGTACAGTACACAGAGACTTCATACAAGCACAAGAATGTAATGCATGCATTATGATAGCCATCTGAAAGAAACTCAGATACTACTAACTCTGCTGGAACATTCCAACTACAAACAGAGGTGTATATCCTGATGAATATGATCATATTTACAGCAATATTTAACAAAAAATGACAGCACAAAAGGCCACAATTTAACGATCAACATTCGTGTCTACAAAAGGTGATGGTTTGTTAACTACAACAAAGAACAAAAGTAACAGTTATAGACAACAGACGCCACAATTATGAAAACTGGCAATACTTATAATTTATGTCAAGAAATCTTTTAAGTTTTTCCAAGTTATCATTCACCAGTAAGCTATTTAGAACTTGCTGAAAAAGCCAAAAACCACAAGATCAATTATGATACATCACCTTCAGACTATGTCACCTCTCCAACTTCATTTTTGGCTTGTAATTCTTTCTGCGCTATGTACGTGCATATACATCTGATATTTTGTCTGGTTAACTGAGAGGACAGATATACACATACATGCTTTGAAACCTCTCTATTCTAAATTGGTTAACATAAACTCAGGACAGAAAAGATTTTGGAGCAGTGTGTGAATAATCACATTCTGAGAAGCAGCTACATACCTGTACAGAAGGTAACATAAAATTTGTTACATGAGCATTCCAATATTCTACAGTCAGCAGGATAATCTGACATTAAAGAAAGGGTAGGTCGTTGTTACATTTCAGTCTTGTCTGATAGATTTTAATGCTGATCAAAAAGGATGCGTACCAGCTACTGTATCTTCATGAGATTAACTATGTACACACATAAATGGTTATTCATGAAAATTAACTGTTCCATGCAAAACAATGCTTTAATGCAAGGTATAAAAGTCGAATATTTGGATAGGCAAACATATTGGAGTACCAACAACAAAACTGGCCTTACAACTCTTCTTTCAGCCAAGTGGAATTAAATTCTGTACAATTAGGATTGAATTAAAACAAGTGCAACAATATCTGTAATAATAACACCACCCTCACACGTTTCGGCCAATGATGGCCATCATCGGAAGGCAACCGACACTTCAAAGGAAATGCTTCACATGTATTACATGTATGGGTTGTCTTGTAAGGGTTAAAACATTAGTATCTAAAACATGTTCTGTTAACAATAAATAGCTTTTTTGGTTGATTACAGTCTTGCTGTGACTCCCAGTAATGGTCATCTGTATTGGGTTTGTTGTGTGTGTGTGGGCCACCCCATGGGGTGCACGGTGGCACATACAGGACCAACACAATATAGATGACCTATTGTGATGGACAGAATCATCACTGGGACTCACAGCAAGACTGCAAACGACAGAAAAATTATATTACTTTTGACAACACGTTTTAAACACCAGTCTTGTAACCCTTACAAGACATCTGCACAAAATACATGTGAAGCATCCCCTCTGAAGTGCTGGACCCCTTCTGAGGATGGCCATCATTGGCCAAAACGTGTAAGGGTTGTATTTTATTATTACAAATATTGCTGCACTTGTTGGAATTCAATCCTAATTTTATTTATATGCTACCGAGTACAATGGCTGATGACACTGTCCATCATAAATTCTGTACGTTCGCAAGAATACACACACACCATCGGGCTTCAAATCACCAGTGCATGTATCAATTAATTTATGACATGAGTACAGAACAGAATGCTTTAAATTATGTAATGTGTTCTGTAATCCAGCTGTAATGTTACGATGCATAAAGAAAATTATATAACGATTAGTAACTAAGTTTGTTCAAAATCATATTTCTTTCCCCTCTCTTCATGCCCCGCAGTAGTAATCTGCTCCCTACTCGTGCTCAAGCAAAAACAATTCTGGTAAAAAAGTTATCTCTACACGTAACTAATTAAGCACTAAGCCATGAAGGTGTATGAGGAAGTGGATGTATAGATCCACGTTTTCTTCACCTCGGCACTAGTTTGAGATGAGAGGTCAGCTTCATGTCCTGGCCACTTTATCCCCAGGGAAAGAGCCCCCAGTACCCATTGGAGAGAGGGCTGGGTGGGTCTGGATGATGTGGAGAAAATTGTTGCCCCTACTGGGACTCAAACTCTGACTCCTCCGTCATCCAGCCTATAGCCAGTTGCCACCCGGCTCCACAAAACAATTCTGGTATTCCATCAAAATATCAATGGCAGTTTAACAATGAAAAAAATGTTGTGCACACATGTGAAACATGGTCCCATGACCAAAGAGAATAATATTAAATAGTTCTCGGTTTGAATGATAAGAAAGAAGAAAAAAATATTCATGGCTTACACTGTTAGACACGAACCAAGTATGGGCCAGATACACGCACCACCATTTCAGTCCTGGCCACTGAGCTGTACACGACAGGTGCTTTTTCTTGTGGAGAATGGTGATAACACTGCAGCACACTCATGAATATCTGCATGGCTAATATGTTATGCCCCCTTAATCTCACCACTTTCAGTTGGCTTCAAACTGGCCAAATCTAAAAAGTTGAGATATAGCTATCTTGAGGAATATTGCAAAGTGTAAAGGTATGAATGTCAGCTAAGCACCATGAATCTGAAACTACATTAGTTAATAGGTTTCCTAAGCTCTCTATTCACTGACCTAGTTCTGGAAAATATCTAGGTATGGTCCGGCAGGTATCCTCCTTACCGAAAACACTGATCATGAGCTCCTCTATTTAGTACCATTAGAAAATTACTGTAAGCAGTCATGGCTTTCCCTTCAGATCATAAAAAAGAGTGGCGTCTGTGCACAGCATCCGCACAACTGCTTCCCTATCGCCGTAAACCCCTTCAACAAAGAGATCTATGCAATGACCCACAAGAAGACGGTTCTGTGAGGTACTGGAAGACAGCAGAGGAATGAAATGATCTGGCAATAAATCAAAAAGCAGAGACCTCTGACTTTTCACTCATTGCTGAAGAACAGGGTGGCACAAAAGTCACTGCCCATTTGAGTGTACAGAGCATCTAATGTTCTGATATGTGTAGAAACAGGATGTAACAACTCCTTCTCGTCGGTCATTACCAACCTACCCATTGGAGAGCAGGAGTTTACTGATTTATGTACAAACAGCTGTTCCCTACCATTTCTGTACTGTATCATAAGTGGGTGTCACGTTTTCCAGTGACTGCTGAACAATGGCACCATTATTTTGATTCAGTTCTACCAACACGTATGGCCACATACAATTTTGATTCTCCCAGAATGTGTAGACCCCAAAAACCCCATTACAATTGCTCAGTACACTTATATCAATATCAGATAAGAATTATTATGCATTTAAATTTAAGTGGCATAATACAAATTTTAAATTCCATAAGCTTTCTATAAGTACACTTGCAACTGTATTACCTTCGTACTTTATAAAGTAAACTGTTGGTAGGAGCGAAGCGTTAATATGTTATAAATTAATAATGGTGGAATGTTCCGACAATGACACCCTCAATTTCAAAACAATAAACATAATCTTCATCCCTGCTTTACAGAACTGGCATAAATAGTAATTCCAAGTCAAAGCAGATGTGAAACCTAGAGACTTAACGAGCATGGTTTAAATGGCGAATCCTATTAAATGTTAATCTGGAAAAAAGAGAAAATGCCCACCAATTATAACGACGGTCGAGGCTCTTCAGATAAACATAAATGTTACACTAATACATTCAACATTACAGCGGAATCACATACACATACTCACAATCACACGATACTCCAAATTACATGACATGGGTAATGTTACAACCAGAAACAATACAGTAATACCTCCTGAAACAGTTCCCACAGCCTAACCACATTTCCTTTTCTGTCTTCATCAAAATGGCATTCATCAGTATTTACATATGAACTTTTAATCCCAGTAACGAATGCAACCTGATCAAGGAATCTGCACGATGAGTCCTCACGCTCAACATGGGAGCACTGTAAAACTGCTTGGAAATCAGACTCCTATTTCAGCAGGTGATGTATGGTCGTCTTCCCCCAGTCTGCTGCTGGTACACCTCAATGGTGTCACCTTCTTCCATCTCCAAGCTTATGGGTGTATCAGTCTCATTGATGGGTTGTCCATCAAAACGAAACCTCATGGTGGCCATGGCAATACCCTGAGAAGAGACAGCATATTTAAAATTTTGCACAGTGGGGGCATCGAATCTGGATGGGTCCGCTCGGCACAGCAGCCACTGACTGGCCTATTGTACCTGCCCCAGGTGATGATGGAGAATTTGGTGGAATGAAAATTGGCTGGGGAAACCAAAGTACTCAGGGAAAACCTGCCACAGCGCCACTTTGTCCACCATAAATCCCACTTGACCAGACCCTGGCTTGAACCTGGGCTGCTGCAGTGGGAAGCCAGCGACTAACCGCTTGAGCTATGGCACGGCCGACAGCATATTTAAGCACACAAATACATGCAATCCACAATGTTAGTAATACGACGCTAACATATGCAATTGCATGCTGTACCCTGGGGAAAAACAGAGGAATGCTGTACTGAAGAAGCACAGTGAGATTCTTGAGATAATCAGTTCGATAAGCAAGGACAGTATGAAGCCTAGGCTGAGTCCAAGGAAATGTAAATAATTTCCTGAAAGTGGCGACATTTTCTCCTCTCCTCGGTACCCAGTCCAGCTCTGGGGCCCACCCACCCTTGAATTCAATGGGTGTCACAGGCTCTTTCCCAAGAATGAATGGTCCAGGGCATGAATCTGACCACTCATCTTCATCCAGTACTGAGGATAGGTACACAACGAGCCACACCTCCATCCCCCAACACACTTCATAGCAGTGAGCTTAATTAGGCACAGAAACAATTTTACCTCTTATTGATGATGAAAGATTTCAGATGCATACGCTGCAGGGCAATCACACATCTGGCTAGAATCTAACATAACAAAACCTTCACAAAGGAGGACAACAGGGTGTACAGTCGGTAGCGGTTGGTAGTACGACAAGCAGAAAGCATATAGGATATTTGTGGAAAAGCCAAGAAGATAAAGGTCAATAGGAAGATCAAGACACAGGTTGATGGATAATATTATAATGGATCTTAAGAGAGACAGGATGGAGGTGGTATGGACTGAATTGACCTGGCTCAGAATGGGGACCAGTGGAGGGCTCTTGTGAACACAGTAATGAACCTCTGGATTCCATAAAATGTTGGGAAATTCTTGAGTAGCTGCACAACTGGAAGCATCTCATGAAGGGATCCATGAAATCATATAGATCATACACTTGTTACAATGTTAGGTTCAACCTACATTATTACTTCTTTTATATATCCTACATAAATTACTTTCATTTTGATATACAAAATTAATAAATAATAACATTGAATACCTTCTGCTACACAACTTACAGTGGAGAAAAAAACAGCTTTAAAAGTTTAATCTCATTATAAAGGTCAGTGAGAAATGCTCAAACACAAGAAATTAACAACACATGAACCTAATAAGGCACGTGACTTAATCAATACTATGTCAACCTACCAATGTATTTGATTATAAATTCCATGTTTAAACAATACCATCAATAAAAATGTATATGTTTGCAATGAAACTGGTATATTTCGTTGGACTTACACATTTTACTTGCGGAAGTCGTTTCTTTTTCAGTTACCGCCATATATCCAAGCAAGAATTGAGTTAGGTTAAAGATTTATGGCACATTGTGAACTTATGTTTAAACTTACATTTTCCAAACCTAAGTTCGAAACATCTTTATACATCCATCACAACACTTACCACCCTATCACAATAAGCGGTCATCAATTTTCTCAACGGAGTATGTTTCTTGATCTTGAATTGGACAATTGCATTGTCTTGTCCAAGAACCTTCAGATTGATGTGTTCAGTCTCCGAACCCTTCACGTCCTGTGAGGAAAACAGATTGAACTAAAAATATACGATAATTTCAATAAATGTGAAATATTATATTTTCGGTATACTTACTCCTACCTTCTTATCTTCAGACATTTTGCCAATATCTACAACTATTAGGCCCTATTCCGCGCCTTTCAGGTTCTGTGAAAAGCGGTGCCCTTACGGATGCGGAATTTTGTACCTAATAAATCTTGCAAATATTAATAAAATCAATACTAAATATCACTATCAAATATGAATTCAGAATTAGTTTTAAATTCTAAATTAATATTACCAACTGTAAAAAAGCTCTATAAAGCACAGTGATGAATATAACTTCCTTTTTTGGAAACGTTTCTGAGCATTACACCCCGTAGTTCAAGAGCGGCGAGTTACGCTAAAGACTCTGTGCTGCCATCCATAGGAAGTGCCAAAATATTCTATTTCCTTGTCATCTTCGACGACTCGATTGACAAAAAATCAAGGCATGTTTGATCTTTTGCAACATTTTTTCGGGAAAGGGAACTGGTGAAAGAAAGAAAGAAAGTTGCAACTGCTCACTCACGGAGCTGAACTCTTCTTCATAATCTGCCAATTGTGCAACTACTCAAGAACCTCCCAGCATTTTATGGAACCCAAAGGTTCGTTACCATGTTCACAAGAGCCCTCAACTGGTGTCTATTCTACGCCAGATCAATCCAATCCATCCCATCCTCTCTTAAGATCCATTCTAATACTGTCCACCCACCTATGTCTTGGTCATCCCAGTAGTATCTTTCTTTCAGACTTTCCCACCAATATCCTATATGCATTCCTCTTTCCCCCCTTCATGCTACATGCCCTCCCCATCTCGCCCTCCTTGACTGCATCATTCTAATTTTACTTCAAGAAGAGTATAAGTAATAAAGTTCCTCATTATGCAGTTTTCTCCAGCTTCCTCTCATTTCATCTTTCTTCGGTCCAAATATTCTCAACACCCTCAGTCTGTTTCTCCCTTAATGTCAAAGACCAAGTTTCTCACCCATACAGAACCACAGGCAAAATTATAGTTTTGTCCATTCTAATTGTTATCTATGTTATCACCCAGGAGATTCACATCATCGGCACAGACCAACAGCTGATTTTTCTTGTTTAATTTCAGTCCCACATGGTTTCCCTGGACCTTCCTAATGGCATATCCTAAAGCAAAGTTGAAAAGGAGTGGCAATAAAGCATCTCCTTGTTCTAGGCCATTCTGGATAGGAAAATTATCAGACAACTGTTTACCTACATGGACTGTACTATATGTTTACTTTAAACACATTTTAATCAGCTTAACTAGTTTCTTAGGTATCGCAAACTCTATCTGAATATTGTACAATACTTCCCTCTTTAACTGAATCATAGGTTTTCTTGAAGTCTATGAATAGTTGATGTACTGACTCATTGTACTCCAATTTTTTCTCCAATATCTGATGAATGCAAAAGATGATCTGTTATGTCGAAAATCACGCTGATGATTCCCAATAATTTCATCTAAAAATTCGCTTAGTGGGGAGTGGAGTCAAACTTGGTCCACTCAGCATGGTGGCCACTGATTGGCCTGTTGTATCCTGCCCCAGGTGATTATAATGATGGAGAACTTGGTGTAATGAAGACTGGCAGGGAAAACCAAAGTACTTGGAGAAAACCTGCCCCAGTGGCACTTTGTCTACCACAAATCCCACTTGACCAGACCCCGGAATCGAACCCAGGCCACCACAGTGGGAAGCCAGCGACTAACCGCTTGGACTATGGTGCGGCCTTATAATTTCATCTATGCATGGACTTGACCTTGAGAGAAGAATGTTGAATAAAATTTTTATGAAGTTGATAGCAGTGATATCCTGCGATAATTACTAGTCAGTCTTATCACCCTTCTTGTGAACTGGTACAATAATAGACTCCTTCCACAGATCAGGCACTCAAGTATGACATGGGTAGGGTATGTAGCATGCATACAAAAATGAGCATGGGAGATCACTTGGATATGCCAGGCAAAAATAAGATATTAAAATAAAGACATACATTCCTGATATCTTCATGCTCATCATGAAAATCTCATGAATATCATAATATTAAAATACACCTTATACAATTTGGGTCCATACTGGATTCATCTGGCTAAGGACACAGACAAGTGGCAGGTTATTATGAATACTGTTGAATATTTAGGTTCTACTTCTCTTCTTGGCTGATGCTGTCAGTTTTGGAGACTGTCAGACAACAATCAGACTGACAACTTCATAGGGATCTGGAAGGAAGGAGCCATAACCTAAAAAAAAAGTAAAAAGTAAAGGTATCCCTGTAACAGGTCGTGAAGGCCCATAGGGTTGAGACGTTGAGGGTCCACACTTCCTCGACAGTCAGCTCACAGATGGTAAGGTTGCCAGCCTTACATACTGGCCGCCCATTACTCCACAGGAAAATTATTTAATTAATTCCTGGTACTATTTCTGTTAAAGGCTGAGTCGACCCCGGGGCCATGGTGCGGCTGGAAGGATTAGGTCAACTGAAAAAAATCCAATGACCTCATCAGGATTTGAACATGTGAACTTCTGGCTTGTAGCAGTGCTCAACCACCTTTGCTACTGCATGCCCCAGCCACAGCCTAATCAAGGTGCAATTCCAAAATTTGCTGGGAGAACTCAGAAATCCGTGGAAAACCTGAAAGGATAGCCAGCAGCTTAGTTGAGATATGAACCAATACCTCTCGAATACAAGTCTGGAGCTTTAATATTATGTTGACCTGTTCGGCCAAGTTTTGTAAAAGGCTAACAATTTCTTGAATACCAAAACTTCTCCTTCAAGGAGACTGTTTCATACTTCTATCAATGTGATGAAGAAACCTAGAGACAAAAATATTATGTCCATCTTCAGGCATCCTACTACAACGGTACATGGGATGAGAAAATGAACAAACAATGCATCTGCAAAACCCATGTTAACACAGCTTAATAAAGTTTTAGAAACTAATAACAATTGCAATCATAGAACCATATACAACCTAAACAAAAAGTTGTAAATACACTTCAAATCAATTATGAATATAATATCACAAATTAAAGATGAGAATAATATTTTTATATGGTATTTATTGCATCATTTACAGAGACCCCTTAACATTTATTCATTTTCCTCGCTACGCAGGCGAGCATTAGCATTTGTAACACGAACTGAAAGTTGCTGTGCTCGTTCAACAATGGACTTTCGTTTCTTTGATGATACTCCATGCGCAATCTCAGCACAGAATTTGCGATTCTGCATCATCAGTACTTCCAGTTCTTTCACATTATGCACCAGAACCTTTCGGAAACCAGTTGGAAGCATGTGCTTTGTCTTCTTGTTGCTCCCGTAACCAATTGATGGCATGAGGTACTGACCCTTGAAGCGCCTACGAACTCTGTTGTCAATACCCTTGGGTTTCCTCCAGGACTGCTTTAGCTTTTTGTAACGGTCACTCTGATGGCGAATAAAATGTTTTGTTCTTTTCTTAATAATAGTTGGCCTGTATACTGGACGAATAGCCATCTTCAATCAAAGCCAAATACCTGTAAAACAATACTGTCTTACAGTTATATAACGGAATGTTACATATTCTGTTTTACACATTAAAATATAAATTCCAACATCTTTCCCACACAAATTAAATTAATGCAAAACAGAAAATTTGCAACTCACACATGCCTAGAAAATTAAAAATCACATCAACCCTGTGTACATGTTAAAAACATTATGCACTCTTTCGAAGCCGAAAAGGCGGGGGTTCGCGAATATTACTAACAACTAAAGAAGTGAATACATTTGATTAGATACATCGTTTAAGAAAACTAGTGCCTAATATAAACACAAGCGAATACTCAAAGGCAACTGGGTACTTAGGTATGCACGGGAATAGACTAAACTCCTTAGGATCTGAGTAAATAAGGAGTAATCACATTGCACAATTTTGGAAAACAGATAATATTCTGGGGTATTTACTAATTAAATGTTTTAAATTTGTTTCTCCCACGTTACTTATGCATTTATGCATTCGTACGGCTATGCTTATATCCACAGCACACGTGGATATTATACATATCCACAATTTGAGCCACACTACTTCAATTATCAATGCTACTGTTATTATAGACACGTAACTGAAAACTGTACAGAAGGATACCTCAGATCTGGAGTATTTACTGCCCTTAAATTACGCTAAAAACTCAAATTGCTTACAATTCAGTATATAATACTACACCGCCCAACACACCGGACGTCAGAGAGGTACGCTTTGCAAAATAGAAATATGATATATCGAACTTGCTTGGAAACCGTGCCAACGTTGAAAATATGTACTACCATACGAATGAGTTAAAAATTGGTATAGTATGCCTTACGATTCAAGAATTTGGTATATCTTAAATTAAATGCGACACCATATTTTGTATTATAAGAACAAAACTTCTCAACATAAGAATAATTATCAGCCAGAATAATTCTGAATATATTTTTTGTGTAATGCAAATGACACATAATGCAGAGCTCCATATCCATCAAAGGAACGCGATCTCAGATAAGTTTAGGGAACGATTGTTTCAAGACTATCGAATAATTATATTGCTTTTCACACTTAGAGATTGGTGCTCTGAAGGACGGTGTATTGAATCAATGCAAAACACCTACATGCCTCTAGTTTATATTTATGGCATACACTGTTTTCTGCTTGTTGAGGGAAACAGGCCTGTGTAGTGTTGTGGGATTGAGAGTGATGAATATTGACATGCGTAACTGAATAGTTATTTACACTGAAACTTCATTCCAGGATTACAGCGAAATAATGGTCCTCACAAAGGAATATCGGATATGTATGCCTTTGACTGTTGAAGAGGTAAAGTTCTTAACAATGATATGTCTGCAGAAAGTATGCAGTCGGATTAAAATGTTTTGATTCACTAATTCTCCTAGGTATTATTTACTACAGTATCAGATTGGGCAGCTGTACATGATAGCTCGTCACAGCCATGAGCAGACGGATTCGGGGGAAGGTGTGGAGGTGGTTGAGAATGTTGCGTGTGAGGATCCAGAATATGGGCAGGGACAGTACACGGAGAAAAGGATACATCTTTCGAGGTATTGTATGTCTGCACTTTAGTGTGGGGCCATAGAAGTCAGTTGTCATATTAAATGTCATCGGTTTACCAGCATTCAGTAGAACAATATATAATCAGCTGTGTTTACACTGCAAAAGGAGAACAAGGAAGAGTTTCAGAAGTTTGCTACCAGCAGTCAGCACTGGTCAGAAGGGATGTGCAGAATGTCTTATTCAATGATAGAAAAGAAGACTCACAGTGTGCAACCAGAGAAATCTCAAAATGCTTTCATATATTGTATTATATTGTAGTATTATTTTATTTAAAATTGATGTTCTCACCATAATTGATGACCTGATGATTGTGACTTTTCAGTCGACTTCCATACTGGATCCAGTCATTCATACCAAAAGTATTTTACGTGACAGAAAAAGCATGGAACTATTACCCATTTACCATCACAGGTGTGTACGCATGACTGTTTAAATGTCCTGAAATTAAGTTGCAGTGCATTACATGCATTACTGGATGTAGACTGCATGGATTGACCAAGGAGGTTGGTGTAGCGGTGTAGCTCTTTGCTGATATTGCAAGATTTTTTATTCATATGTTGGCCAGTACATTGGCTATCGTGATTGAGGTATTTTATGGTCGTCTTCAGTCCTTGGAGGTAAATACCAGGACAGTACCTCAATTAGGTGATGACCACTACTACTAAGGGGTGCACGCAGTAGTGTAGTTGGTTGAGGCACTATGCTACAAGTTGGAAGGTCACAGGTTCAGTTCCAGATGAAGTCACATAAGTCTTCAATTGACATAATACTTCCATCCACACTATGGCCCTGGGGTCCACTCAGCCTTTAGCAGAAATGAGTATCAGGAATCTTGGGGGGGGGGTAAAGAGCAGCAGGTGCATAAAGCTGACAGCCTCACTACCATCTGTGATCTGATTATCTAGAAAATGTGAGAACTTCAATGTCTCACAACCCAGTGGGCCTCTACGGTCTGTTACAAGAATAGCTCTTTACCTTTTTTCTTTAACCACTACTACAAAATGCTTTTCCAGCTCCTGAGTCATCTTCTGTCCTGCCATTCAGTGCTGTATAGACTTAACACTAAAAAGGGCTGTAAAATAAACACATTCTCAAGAAGAGTTCTCTCTTCTAGGACATTGTGGAGACACATGTAAACCCCCATCTTTGGAGTTAAAAAATAAGCACCATGAAGCAGGTAACAAGCTTATCTTTGCTCACTGTGTGCTTCATTCTGGTTTCTTCCTTGGCTTATTCTACAACTCTGAGATGGAAGTGATGTTTTCTTTCAAAATGTCAGTTGGCTTTAAGTGGACCAAATGTCATTATATCCCAGAAGATATAACCATCACTGGATGGATTGAAACTGAACTGCTGCTTGTCTGATTATTAGTCAGTTAAATCCCAGTGAGACATATTCATATAGTTCAGAGCTGTTTTGTTTTATATAAGTTTTACAAAAAAATGAACATTATGGTGTTTGGGATTATGATGCCATCTTGTCTGGAAGGTTTGTAGGCACCATATTCCTTCAAAGTGTTAATAACCTCCTAAGCAGACTAAAATACAATATTGTAATCCAGAATATTACGCTATAAATCTTCACTGCAATGAAAATCATGTTTGTAGCAATCATTTTCACGTTCTTCAGAAATTTCACCCTAAGCAAAGTGGCAGTCAGATTAAAGTGAGGTAAAGGTAAAGTTATCCCTTTACTAATTAGTTAAGCACTATGTCTTGAAGGCGTAAGTGGGAGTGGAATTATAACAAACAAACAAACACACAAACTTTTGCTTTTTGCTTAGTGGGGGGTGGAGTCCAGCTGGGTCCACTTGGCACTTTGGCCACTGACTGGCCTATTGTACCTGCCCCGGATGATTATGATGATGGATAATTTGGTGGAATGAAGATTGGCAGGGGAAACTGAAGTACTTGGAGAAAACCTGCCCCAGTGCCATTTTGTCCATCACAAATCCCACTTGACCAGACCCTGGATCGAACCCGGGCCGCCACGGTGGGAAACCAGCGACTAAGCGCTTGAGCTATGCATGGCCTTTCTGTGATTTTAGTCCACAAGTGAACTATACTGACCGAGTAACTGCCTCTTGCTGGCGAAGTTTAGTACCAACTTTAGCGGATAGAGGGTGTCGCGTGGTCAGTGCAATGAATCCCCACAGCCTTTAATTTCGGTCTTTTAGACCAGAGCTACTGTTTCCTTGAAATAGCTCCCCAGCTATCAGGAGTGGAATTATAGCTCCACCATTATTGATCTCGGCGCTAGAGGTGAGTGGTCAGCTTTGCGCCTCTGTTGCTTTACCCCCAGGATGCATTGGAAAGGAGACTGGGTGGGCCTCAGAGCTGGTCTGGATGCAGAGTAAATATAAATTCTCTTCCATGATTTATTTCAACCGTCTTCTAGTGCATACACTCATCTATCTCACTCCTCTCTCTCGCACTACATGTTTCGGCACAAAAGTGCCATCTTCAGGTGCTGATTCGATTTACGATAAACTAGTTCACTGCATGCCTTGCCGTCTTCATATTAAAATAACTAAAATATATATTTATCCTATATATTGATAAATATTAAATGTTAAAAATATTAAAATTGTTCAGGATTTTTCATCCCTACGTCGTATCTCACTACGCGAGTCACACCTATCCTCTTCTGTCGGAGCACTCTTTCTCCTTTCGTATGTTNTGGCCTATTGTACCTGCCCCGGATGATTATGATGATGGATAATTTGGTGGAATGAAGATTGGCAGGGGAAACTGAAGTACTTGGAGAAAACCTGCCCCAGTGCCATTTTGTCCATCACAAATCCCACTTGACCAGACCCTGGATCGAACCCGGGCCGCCACGGTGGGAAACCAGCGACTAAGCGCTTGAGCTATGCATGGCCTTTCTGTGATTTTAGTCCACAAGTGAACTATACTGACCGAGTAACTGCCTCTTGCTGGCGAAGTTTAGTACCAACTTTAGCGGATAGAGGGTGTCGCGTGGTCAGTGCAATGAATCCCCACAGCCTTTAATTTCGGTCTTTTAGACCAGAGCTACTGTTTCCTTGAAATAGCTCCCCAGCTATCAGGAGTGGAATTATAGCTCCACCATTATTGATCTCGGCGCTAGAGGTGAGTGGTCAGCTTTGCGCCTCTGTTGCTTTACCCCCAGGATGCATTGGAAAGGAGACTGGGTGGGCCTCAGAGCTGGTCTGGATGCAGAGTAAATATAAATTCTCTTCCATGATTTATTTCAACCGTCTTCTAGTGCATACACTCATCTATCTCACTCCTCTCTCTCGCACTACATGTTTCGGCACAAAAGTGCCATCTTCAGGTGCTGATTCGATTTACGATAAACTAGTTCACTGCATGCCTTGCCGTCTTCATATTAAAATAACTAAAATATATATTTATCCTATATATTGATAAATATTAAATGTTAAAAATATTAAAATTGTTCAGGATTTTTCATCCCTACGTCGTATCTCACTACGCGAGTCACACCTATCCTCTTCTGTCGGAGCACTCTTTCTCCTTTCGTATGTTTATTGTGCTCTGTGTTGTGTCTTGCTCCTGTGACTGCGTGTGTTATACTGCTGGGCCTGCAGCCAAAACATGTAGTGTGAGAGAGAGGAGTGAGATAGATGAGTGTATGCACTAGAAGACGGTTGAAATAAGTCATGGACTTAAATCAGTGCAACAGGACGCTAAAATATAACATTATAAATTCTCTTACTATTGTTATGTTCCTAAACCATCGTCTGTTCTGTCTCCAAGAATCTGATTATAGAGAGAGTATCTAAATATTCAGGCAAGTTCCATATGCTTCCTAATATTTGTGCAGTTGAATATAAAAGGTTGTAATGGATTGGGAAGTTCACATGGGTTCTCATCCAGCTGATGCATGATATTTTGCTAAGGATGATTGTTTTAACAATTTCACGTCATATGTAGGTAAGGTTTCCAACATAATTTTCAAATACAGGTCAAATGCCTGAAGCTGCCACCAGTGACAGGTTTTACTGCCATGTTCTGAACGCATTCAAGACATTACATCTTTGCTGTTTATGGTCTTTGACATCTTAATAGTAGTATAGGAACAACAGATGGCAGGAGGTGTATATTTTCCCATATCAGAGAGTGTTTGTTTCTCTCTCTCACTTGGTCTTCACACAAATTAATTTGTAGCTGGTAGGAGTGAGGTGGGACAAGGTTAGCGAAATGTGTATCTGTATATGTAAATTTTTTCTTTTCTTCTGTTTCATGTTGATTCCTTTTGGTGGTTGACACAGAATATACAGTAAGTATACTTATCATATATCAGTTTATGTCATGAATTGTTTCCTTTTGCTGTATACAATTCAGTAAATGAGATTTATCTCAGTATTTAATGAGGTTTTACATTTTCTTTCCAGTGCTCATTTATACCAAAGTTCAGTATTTCTATCAAGACAAAGTATGAAAATAACAATGGAAGCACAGATAATGTAAGTTTTATGTGTTTACTACATACACTTTGCTTTATTTTTGCTGAAGTCATATATACAGGGTGTCCCAGGAGGAATGTGCCATACTTCGGGAGGGTGTTCCTTATGTTAAAGTATGCCGATATAACCCAAAACAACTATGTCCAAAGTTGAACGGTTACGGAGATAATGGCCCGAGAAAAGTGTGGTCTTCTGGTGGGTCCACACACTGTACCTGTCAGCTGACAAGTCTTATCTATGTTTGTCCTTGAATGTGGTGATGACGGACCTCACTAGCCGCATACACTCACATACCAGAATGCGCAGTCACCCATGTTACGTCAGTGCTTGCCATTCATGTGTCATGTATAGTGCTTGGAACCCTAACAACAGCTATGACATGGCATGCGAGTTTTTTTGTAGTTCAATTTAATGGCTTCCATGTCACTCACAAGTTAGTTTGATGTTACGTACATATTAACATCACAGAAACCACATATTCTTGCCAGTTTTAATACGTATTTGATAATCAACAAGTGTGTAACACCTGTCAAAGTTTCACACTTCTCTGGCCATTATCTCCATAACCGTTCAACTTTATACATAGGTGTTTTGGGTTATATCGGCATTCTTTAACATAAGGAACACCCTCCTGAAGTCTGGCACATTCCTCCTGGGACACTCTGTGTATATATATATATATATATATGTGGCCTTTATTTTTTATGGCGAAAATGTATTAATGTGTAAACTAAGTGTACAATGAGGTTATATTACTTTTATTGGTCATTCAAAAGTGAGGGGCCATCTTTCATTCGCAAATGAGGAAAAATACACGATGGGACATGATAGAGACACTTCTGGAAATAGGCATTTGGGAATTGCTGTATATATTGGAACGTGTTACTGTCAGACAGAAGTTTAAATATAAATTTGACGTTGCACCCACGCTGTTCAGCATTTTATGAAATGGCTGTAATGAAAGCTAAGATCTGTAGTTCTCACAGCAATGAACATGAAGATTTCTGTTTTCTGTGATTGACATTCTGTAAGCTCCTCGAAAGTTAGTGCTGTCTCCATCTTCAGGGTAAGAAGACTCTTCTATCCTGAAGATGGAAGCATACAGTAATGTTAATAAAAGTTGTACATTTTTTGAAGGCCTGTTGAAGGCAAGGGTAAAGTTTTCCCTGTCCATAATGAAGCACAATGTGAAGACAACATGTTGGGGTGAAGGAGGTTGGCGGTACCTGTATCATAACATCGCCAGTGGATGGAGATGAGTGGTCACCTTCACACATTGACTGCTTTACTCCTGGGAAAGTGTGCCCCACTACACATTGGAGTTTTATTGCCACAATATTACAGGATTGCATATTAAATGTTTTCTAGTTGTACTTCCATCTCAGAAGTTTGCACAGTTATAATGTTGGTGTTATTTATGGGATGGAATTACAGAGTGCAGAAGTGGGGTAGCTTCCAGTAGCAGGTAGATTCTAAAGGGTTCTGACGATGGTGTATAATACTCAGAATTATTGGGTTTTTGGTCTTTGCCCATCGCCAGGTATTCTAGAAACTAGAAAACACAACGTTCCAGAACTGAATCAGTTTCCATTCTCATGTGTGGAGGGGGGAGACATGCTCGTGCACTTGGGTTTGTTGGCTATATTTGTAGCATAAATTTCTACCTCCTTTTCTATCCTAGTTCCACACGTGTGCTTGCTTTATTACAATTTTTGTTGCATATTTTCTTGTTATCTCCCTCTGAGTTAGCCAGGTCTCAGGTGATTAAATGGCTGTAATGAATCTGACGGGGGTTGTCCAGTGATTGAGGTTATCTCTTTCTAAGGGACCCAACTGAGTAGGTGTCTTCCCCTCCTCACCTGAGGAAGGAAACAGGTCCAGTTTCCAAAACGTTGTGTTTTCTAGTTTCTAGAATACCAGATGATGGGCAAAGTCCAAAACCCCAGTAATTCCAGTAGCAGGTTTCAGTTAAAAATTTTTAGAGAGCAGCAAAGAAGTCATGATGATACAAGATTTGAGGTTGTAATGGCATAGTCTGCAAAGATTACTGTCCTCTGTCATGTGACATGATGTAGTCTCATGGATAGTTTCCGACATTTTACAGGAACACTGGCAATGATCTAACAGATTACATGTCATCACATTCCGGAAAGACAGTAATATTCATGATGATGTATGTCATAAGACTGATTTCACACACAAGATTAGGAAAGTGGACTACATCTGAAACAGCTTTTGGGGTACATTATTATGAGCATCAGTATTACCATACTACTTACAATATAAGATGCACATTTTTCATATTTTTTCCCATTGAAAAATTTAGGTGCATCTTAAATTCAAGGGATGTGCACCTTTCTGATTTTTCCTAAAATCCACATTTAGAAACTGGATGCATCTTATATTTGAAGCAATATGGTATTTATGGATGTAAATATATTATTGATTTTTTTTTTTTTTAAGATTGGTGTTAAATTGTGCAGTCTGTACATGACAATCCTGAGGAGCTCCATATAATGGCCCTGGTTCAGTCCCTGGCAATACAAGATGTTTCTCTTCTCCACAGGGTCCAGACAGACTCTGGGGCCCACTGAGCCTCCTATCCAATGGGTACTAGGGCCTCTTTCCCCGGGGGTAAAGCAGAAGGGGCATGAAGCTGACCACTCACCTCCATCTAGTGCTTAGGTCAAGAAAGTTGGAGATATACCTCCACTCCCCCATTTGCCTTAACTATTTATCTTTTTCTTATCTAGGGACAACATACAGAAGACTTTGTAGAATATGCAGGGCTTTTTTCCCAATAAGGTTGCATACGCAGGATATGATATACCCTCAGATATGTTTTAAAGAGAGTATAGGTCAGAATCCAGGAACAAAAAGTAGTATGTTTGGCACTTTCTCAAAATTGCTTTTTAGTGTGTTATTTCCCTAATTTGTTGTTGTTGTTTTCCTTTCAGTGTCTTAATCTGGATACCGACGCCCTAAATGAAAGAACTGTAGAGTTTGTCGACATAGCGTATGATGAAGTAAATCCGAAGCACTACAAGGAGGAGGAGGTATGAATGTTATGTCCGTCATTAGGTAAAGTGCAGCGTTTTTGTCGCCTTACAACAACAAAGTTTTGATGTTCAGTGCACTTTGCCTATAAGGCTTATTGCTTCTGAGATTTAAAAAAGTGAGTGAATGCACCAGAATTGTTACACTATGCATACATCTCATAACTCATTATATTTGTTTGACACCTCCTTTTAAATTTATTATTGTGCAGTCTAATGCCTCTGTCCATTCCAAAACATTGTAAATTTCCTAAAAGTGAAGTAACATAATTGGTTTTTAGTTTAATTTGAGAAAAACAGCTAGAAATTCTTGAGTGAAACCCAAGTGTTATGTAATTGAAACAATAGATGAACAGTGACACATCACAGTTGTAATACCCTGGCCATTATACCCAGTGATCCATTGGGAGCCAGGATTGAGACTAGCTTCTTGCAACAGACCAATGAAATTAGGTCTCCACGTTTTCCTGAAGACGGAAGTAGAACCAGCTTCTGAATGTTTCGTTTTTAGTATGAAACCCAGGCAGTGGATAATGTCCAAGGTATTGAAATGAATATTTATTGAACGGACTGAGGAATTTATAACATGATAATTCTAACAAGTTAAACTCTGAACATATGAGTGAGCAGGTTATGGTTTTTCCAGAAATTTGGAAATATTACTGGCATGTTACTGTCAAGATTGTGGTCTTCTAGGATATGATACCATGTATTCTTGTAGGCAGGTACCGACGTTTCACAGGAACATTCTGCTTCTATCTTTAGGGTTTGAGTGTGTAGGGAAAAGAACCAATTGAATTTTATAGGCAAGTTGCAAGAAAGGTGGTCTCTTTGACCCAGGGAGCAGGAGAGAAGATGGAGATCAGTTCAGGCCAATAAGAGCAATGAACAGGGAAATGGCCCTTTTCAGGGCCTCTGTAGGCAGGAAGTAGGACGTCAGAGATGAATCCACTTTCCAAGGGTTCAAGTGAAGCGTGTCACTTCAAGAGGAGGTAACTGTCTTCCTGCAGGAAGGGATATTCTTCTTCCTTGCGTGATCTGCACATATAAGGCTACACGGTATCACCACCCAGAAGAACTCAAAACTTGTCTTACTGTCTACTTGCAGGATGTGAGGTACTTTCAGTCTCGGAAGACTGGCAGGGGACCTTTGGTTGAGGGATGGAGAGAGACTGTCATCCCCATCATGTGCTCATATAAGATTGTCCAAGTTTCGTTTGAAGTGTGGGGCCTTCAGACCAGAGCTGAAGATTTGATTCAAAGGGTACTGCTTTTCTGGTTGACTAGTGTAAACGTTATTATAAGGCTCACACTTGAGGGTGTGTGATATATTTGAATTGAGAGGCAACTTAAGTGCAGTTCCATTCTTCAGTGGTCATAATAAAACATTTTTAGTGTTACGAACAGTCTTTGGGGTGTGGCATAGAGCAGTGATGTCAGTAGGTAACAGTGCTTCAGAGGAGTGTTACTGCCTATGTACCATATTGCATGGTATCACCTCCCAGGTAAGGGTAAAGGTAAAGCTATCCCTGTAGCAGGCCATGGAGGCCCATAGGGTTGTGAGACATCAAAGCTCCCACATATTTTAGACGATCGGCTCACAGATGCTGGTGAGGTTGTCAGACTTACACGCTGGCCAGTTGTCCTTTACCCCAGGAAGATTCCTGGTACTCATTTCTGTTAGAGGCTGAGTCGACCCCAGGGCCATAGTGCAGCTGGAAGGATTGGGTAAATTGAAAAATCTAGCAACCTCATCGGGAATCGAACCTGCAATGTTCTGGCTTGTAGCATAGTGCCTCGACCAACTGATCCTATTTCTTAACAGTCACTGCCCTGAGAATATGAAAATTTGCATCCTTCTATATATATATATAAACTTCTGTAAGGGTGAGACTCATCATTGCCATTACACAGTTCAGGTTACCTTAGCAACGAATTGTCAAGCATTAACCCGTTGCATACATACCAGTTATGTAGTAGGTCATGAATCAGCAATCAGTCTTTATTTCAGTGTATTACATCTATTCTGGGTTCATTTTCCAGTGACATCATTGTATTTTTCAATTGACCTCATCCTTCCAGCCACACTATGGCCCTGGGGTTGACTCAGCCTTTGACAGAAATGACTACCAGGAATCTTCTTGGGCCTAAAGGGCGGCCAGCACTTAATGCCTACAGCATCATCGCCACCTGTGAGCCAGTTGTCTAGAAATTGTGGGAGCCTTGACATCTCCGAACCCTCTGGGCCACCATTGCCTTCTTTTTGCCATTTGTACCCATTAAGAAGTCTCTTTATGTCGTTCTGTCATGAAGTTTGCTGAGCATGAGAGAGCCGAAGAGTCATGCAAGCTCCAGACATTGCGTCGTACGAACCCCTTGAGCAATGTTTAGGAGAGCCATCAGCCTGCAGAAGTTGAGACACTGTACCAATTTCATTTCAGAGTATCCGAGAGATCTTGCTACTTGGACACAGACAGGCGTTTGCTTGGATAGACGAATGGTACGGTATGACACTGGAAGATGTCAGGATGTACGAAGAGCAAATGCAACGTGAAACCAACACTAAGGTGGCGGGGAACGGCAGGTCTGATGTGGCTACAACAAAGGGGACTGCACGAAGATCCCCTAATGAAGCGGTTGACGCTGGGTCCTCATCAACCCCAGCAGCACACACACCTACAACACCTTCTACCCCTTGTACACCTAAGTCAAAGTCATGGTTCTCATGGTCGTAGTGAATTAAAGATGGAATACCAAGCACTTCTACTTAGGTAGTAAATAACGTTCCACTTTTTCAATGTAAAACTTTCCACACTCTTATAATGTGCCATTGGTTTAACACATGAAAGTACCCAGTGTTACCAAACATTCTAGTTATTTTACAGTACAATATTGCATTTTCAGAGGCTCCTGATTTCCTACCTTTTTATTTGGTTCAGAGAATGGATTAAATAAAATGAATTATATGATGACGTGAATAATGTGTGCATATGTCGTGTGGGATCACCCGGGCGCGTGGAACAAACCGCAGAGCCATCCAAGCAGAAGAGTGTGATACACCTCCCACCTGGCCAGGTTGCCGAGACAAGCCTACATGCCAACAGTCACAAACAAAACAGACCCAGTTTACAGTAGATGCCGGAAATGCTCCCTTGTGTTACACATGTTCCTGGCACCTCCATTCACGCATTTCAGATCCTGTTTTGGCCTACTTTCCTTATTTTGAAGAAAGTAGGCTTATGAGATCACCTTGCTGTCTGTGTATGTGTCCCCTCCTATCAACTTGTGAATGCCTGAACCAAACTGTATGAAAGTCTATATGTATATCAAGAAACCTGAGCCCATTTCAGTGACATACTTCATAAATCCCTCCGTCCTGTCTGTGTGTCTGTATCATCCCCTATCGTCTGGGTAATGACAGTAAACACGTTCCCACAGCGAGTGCGCGCAACAATAGAAGAATTGTTGGATTCATCAGTTTCTGTGCTGTCCATGTTACATCAAAGGAGAGTCTGTGGGTCTGGCTGTATATCCCCCTGTTGTTGCTAGGCAATGAATTGTTGGAGGTGTCATTTTCTCTGTGGTCCGTGTTATATCAAAGGAAAGTTGGCAGTTAGTTCTTCCCAGAACTTCTTGATGGAAATGGAGAAAACTTGGAACCTGAAACCACTGTCTCCTGTGCAAGGCATCTGAATACAGGGGTTTCACGTTTGAAGTTTGCTGTTTTGACAAAGAAGTTAAATGGCGTGAGTGTGAACTTTCAGGGAGGTGTTAGGAATGTGCGCATATGGGGCATCTCCTATGGTCTGTTGGGGTTCTTTTTTGCCATTTGTTGGCCCATAGGCTTGTTGATCCTGCTGGCAATACAAATCTCAGTAGGCCAAGCAGGTGGGAAGAAAGTCAGGCCCTTCGCCTGGGGAGCTCGGTGATGTGCAGCAGGCTCTCGGATGGTGTTGCAGTAGACAAGGTAGAAAATCAAATCTGTAGGCAACAAATAATACTTGGATGCGTTTTAGAGAGAAGACTCTGTATTTAAACGAGTAATAAAATCTATTGATATATGTTATAATTGTGAGATCTATTGTATGTTCTGTCAGGTGGAGAGTTTTGAAGAACAAGGTAATCAAAGCTTTAGTATATTCAACCTTCAGTTTTGGGCCGAAAGCTGCAACCGACTGACTGAATAGTGTTTGTGCAATGTTAAACTCTTTTGTATGATACAAATAGAGGCAATATCAATTCTGTTATATGTACCCATTGTGTTCTTTTAGCTTATGTTGGACGTCCGTACCAATTGATAGAAACTAAATAAAAATAAATAATATTAGATTAAGATTATTGTGAAGAGTACAACTTTCTGGGTTGTATCGCTATGTATGTCAGAGAAAACCCAGTGTTTCAGAGGAATATATCACCTCTATCTTCAAGTGGAGCTCTGCTTGCTGCTGGTATCTTTCTTAGCTTACTCTTCAGTCTTGAAGATGGTGATATTTTCCTCTGAATCGTCACATTCTCTCCAACCCAGAAGACTGTACTATTCATGGTTCCTGCAGTCGAAACCTCAAATCGAGCATAAGATTAATGTCTTGTTCAATGTGATGCAATGTCTTCTGGTAGATAGGTTCCTCTGAAATGTTGGTACCTGTCTACCAGACTACTTGGTGTCACATCAGATGACCGTAATCTTAATAATATTCAGTGCCATGAGTACCTAAAGTTTCATATGAATAATATTTAGGTCAAAGTACATAAATATGATACTCCAGTGGATTAATAAATTTTCCCCATTCTCACAGAAATTTTATTCATACATCACCAGTTACATAGTTTTTTCTTATTGCCAGTGGGGTGGGACTAAGTCCCTTGTACTGCGGCCACTTCTGGCCTATTGTACCAGACCCAGATCATAGGTAAGGGTGAATGTGGAGCATTTTGTGGAATGAAGATTGGCAGGGGAAACCGAAGTACTCGGAGAAAACCCACCCCAGCGCCACTTTGTCCACCACAAATCCCACTTGACCAGACCTGGGATTGAACACGGGCTACCACGATGGGAAGCCAGCAACTAACCGCTTGGGCTATGGTGTGGTGTTAATAGTTTGAATCACTGTTCGCAGTTTTTTAGTTTCTATAATTGTAGTTATCCTGCTTTCTGCCATTTTGCTGTTATCGATCAATATTTTGTTCCTGAAAAATGTTTTGTTGGAAGCAGTTAATTTATGCATTGCTCAAAACGTGTCTTGTTAGTTATATATTAAATAAAAAGATACAGGAAGACAGTTGTCGTTGATTTGAAACTTTCCTGCTAGGACCATAGGAATGTCTAGTCACTGGTCTGAATGTTTTAAGGCAATGCTTTGCAAGTGACTTTCATGATATTAGATTTGTTCTCTGTACGAGAAAGTAATATGTAAAGGTTAATTGTGTGAAGAAAGTAGTGGACTGAGATTTATTAAATTATAATTTGAATGTGTTAAGTATTTTGTGGCATATTTGTGCGCTGAAATCAAAATTCCATTAATGAAGAAATTAAGAGCAGATTAAATTTGGGGAATGCTTGCTATCATTAAGTTCAGAATGTTTTGTCTTCTTGTCTGCTGTGTAACAACTTAATGAACCAAAATATACAATCTTGTCACTTTGTATGGGCTTGAAACTTCTCTCTCAGATCAACAGAAGACCATAAGTGAACATGAAGAGTATTATCTTTCTGTGATGTAAGACCATGTAGTGTGCTGGAAGTTCAGACATTTCAGAGGAATGTACAGGGTTTGTCCGAAAAGTAATGTCAGTTATTTTATTGTGAAGTGACTATATGTCGCAGCACTCTCAGACCGGTTGGGATCGGTGGAGGGGGAAGTCAGCTTATGAACCCACGGTCGCTTAGTCGTCTCCGAACTTCCTGAGAGTGACGAAAGGCTTTTCCGTGAAACTCGTTTTTGTCTCCCGTGCAAGCCGCAATGCAGCGCTCCTTGGAACAAAGGATTGCCATCATGTTTTGTGTGAAATTTGGCAAGTCTGCAGTGGAAACTTTTCCCATGATAAAGACGGCCTTCGGTGATGATTGTTTGTCGGAATGTCAGGTCTACCGGTGGCACAGGGCCTTTTTAGAAGGCCGTGAAGAGGTCGACGATGAAGCCCGCGCTGGACGGCCATCAACAAGCACCACCGACGAAAATGTGAGTTTGTACTACATGGTACAACCATCAACGCCAAATTCTACATGGAAGTGCTAAAGAGACTCAAACGAAGTGTTTGTCTCATCCGGCCCGACATCGCGGACGATTGGAAACTTCACCATGACAATGCGCCAGCCCACACCGCCTTCCTCGTGACCCGCTTCCTGACCAATTCAAAGGTGCCAACGGTTCCCCAGCCGCCCTACAGTCCTGACGTGGCTCCCCAGACTTCTTTTTGTTTCCGCGCTTGAAAACTCTCATGAAAGGACATCATTTTGGGACAGTTGGCGAAGTCAAAGAGGCTTGCACCAAGGCTCTAAAGGACATTCCGGAGGAGGCCTACCATGACGCCTTCGATGCCTAGAAATCTCGCTGGAATCGATGTATCGACGCAGAAGAAGCCTATTTTGAAGCCTTTTAATGTGTTGCACCGATCTAATCCATAAAAGTTTTTTAATCGACTCACTGACATTACTTTTCGGACAAACCCTGTACTGCTTCCATCTTCAGTGTCAGAGAGATGCTAGGCAAACAGCAAGCTGTGTGAGTTGTGCATGGAAAGTGTGGTTAGGTATAGGCCCCATGTCCAGGGTACTTGGTCTCTGGGCTCAAATAGAAACCTGTGACCTCACAAATATGAAGCTACCATCTCAACTGCAATGTTTGGCAGTGATATGACAACACATTCTGCTTTCCACAGTTGTGATTATTGGCACTATGAAATTATAGTCCACTTTATGTTGAATGATATTTCCCCATAAACTTCAAAGCAGTCTTATTCATGGAAAGTGCAGATTAATTGCTTTCTTAAGCCTGTTAATTGTGATCATTTATTACTACCGTGCCTGCCAGTAAATCTGCACTGGGAGTCATGGAACAATCTTTCTTATTCCTTGTTGGTTATGCGCATTTAATGTCTCTCTGCTTGCTATAAGATGTGCGAAAGTTACATGCTTTTGTCACGATGTTTACACTGATTTTTATGGAGGAATGAAGAAAGTGACCTGGACTCAAACCCATGTATATAACAGTAAAATTAACAATTTCCCAGATTTGTTGTGCTTTTTGCTTTTTTGTGATGTGCTGAGTGGGAGAAACAGGTCAGACTGATGGATGTTTCACAGATGTTTGTGAGGTCTTTGAAAGGTACTAAAACAAACCATTACGATATTGAGATGGGCATGTTATAAGCAGATACTCTTCACCACATATGTATTAGTTATGTGACAGATTTTAATAAGTTCTCACTGGAGGGAGGCTCAATTATGTAAAGTTTAAGGAAAGGGGGCATCTTACACTGAAGTCTGACAATGTATAATCCTTGCTTTATACAGCAATGTTCTCGTATGAACACGCATAATTTTCCTGTATTGAATTACATATGGTATATTATTAATTATAAAAGTGTAAATTGTGTAGAATTCTATGCCTTCATAAGATAGTAGGGCAACTATATAATTATGCTCTATTCTTTGAGTATTGCCTTAATTTACTGCACTTTGTTTTAATTTACCAATTGCTACTTTCCCCCTTGCATCTCCCAAAGCCAACAGCTGATTTCTTTATTTTGTCATGTCTCTTAATTCTGTTAATAGGAAATACATTTAGTGTAAGTGTAATCATTGGTTTTATGTTAAGGTTGAAAACACACCTGCCTGATGCATTGAACTAACCAGGTGAATGATTACTCCAGTATCATGTTATTCCGCTGTACTGGATGTGTTTTGGGCCCTGTTTCGCACATCCAGAGATGTAGTAGATATGGTGTGACGTGGTAAACACTGAACTTTCTGTAGGAGATGTTGTGTGAAATTAGTTTTAAGACAAATCTATTTATTCTGTGTTGGCTCAAGAAAGTAGGTTATTCTTAGCACCAGTCACAATTTTACCATGTGAAATTTTATGAAGATATTTGTAATGATAACCACGGCCTCAAATTTACATATCTGTTACTTACTGAACCCTTTCACTGTTATACCAGAACAGACTTGCAATATGGATGCAACTGTACAGGTAAACTTAACACATGTTGGAATGTTCTTCAATAGAAGATTCATAGCAAAGAAAGGAATTGTGAGAAATTCATGTTTAGTTATAAATTGAGCTTTGGAAAGAAGGAAATGAAATATATTTGCAGGTGTGAATTAGGGCATGGATGTATTAATTTGTGATTAATATGAGAAATGACTAATTAAAATTACTGTCTTCTGTGATGTGATGATGTGCAGATTGGCATACAGCTATAAATATTCTGGAGGAACCTGCCTCCATCTGCTGTGAAGATAGAGGAAGCATATTTCTGGAAAACAAACTACATGGTATCACATGCCAGAAGACCAGTCTTAGAAATGGCTGCATTTTTGATTATCAGTGAAAGGGTTAGTGTGGGTGTTATATTTATCATTTTACATGTTTATATTTGCATTGTGTACATGTTTTGTGTGTGTATATATATATATATATATATATATAAAGAGTACAATCTTGATGATCTGGCAGTGTGCTAGTCCGACACGTCCAGTAATCTGGCATCAGGTGCCCGCAACGTTATGCAGGTTTCTACAGGCAGCAGAGGCTGTCTTGTGTTCAGTTGAGCTTGACAAACTGATTCATTTAGACCCTCGCTAGTACACAGTGTTTCGGTTCTCCAGTAGTACTCATATACTTCTCATACAGCGGTGGATTCAACATGTGGTGAAGATGTCCAGTTCTGACAAACGTAAACATAAAACAGAGTGGGTAATGTTCAGTCTGATGTGACGTACAAGTTCACAACACTTCAATCCTCGCTCACCTTACATGTTTCGATTCAAAAGAATCATCCTCAGAGGCGCACCAGTACGATAAGGAAACACTGTCACATAAGATATTTTAAACAATATGCACTTAAGCTATGAATAATGCTCACTATATAAATTTTGTTTGATTCTTTTGAATCAAAACATGTAAGGTGAGCGAGGATTGAAGTGTTGTGAACTTCTGTCACAGACTGAACATTACCCACTCTGTAATTAATAGTGTGACAGACCAGAATGAGACAAATCAAATTACTAAACATAAAACTTTAAGTGCTAAAGTGAAAATAATTAAGAAACTTGACAAAGGTTGAAAACTTATTAATTTCGTTAAAGAGATGGCATTGGACGTGCTATGATATACGATATAGTTTTTCCAGTAATCCATTTTCGGTAATCTGGCGATACCTTGGTCCCATATATGTTGGATTACCAAGAGTGTACTTTATATATTCCAAGTAGGGCTTCAAAAGGGATAATTTTCAATCTTCCAGGGCTTGTGCAAGTCTAAATGTTGTACTCTCAAACCAGCTCAAGTTTTTAAGACAAAATTTCCAGTCACTGTGATGAAAACTGCTACTGGGGTTGCAATTCTTAAAACAGTCAAAGAAACTAATAAAAATACATCATCTGGTCAAAGCAGTCAATCACACTATTGCCATCAGCACTGGCAGTTTGCAGTTATATTCACACCCTTGCACGACAAGTTTAGATTACTACCTATTAAGAGTCACAGTATGAGCAAAAGAATGCCAGAAATTAATTTTCCTTCAAATTTTAAAAAATGTGCTCCAGGTGATTGGTTAGTTTGCCCATGTCACGCCAACCCTGCAGTCCTCACACCATCATGCAATACAGTGCATAACATGGAAAGTTATTTTGTTTTTAAATGTTTTAATGAGATATACATAAATGATGTATGATGCAGTAGTATGTGATTGTTTTTGTTATTTGTTAAATTTGTTATTACAGTACTTTGTAGCAAATTCTGTGCTTGAAACTTTGGCACTTATTTTCCAAGTAGAGATGATAAATAAAAGCACGTATATTAAAATTTTGAAGGTTTAAGTAGGAGATATCATTAAGAATTTTTTTTTTAAGTTCCTAAATGTGAACTGAAAGAACTGGACCAATAAAAGTTTACTCAGGAATATTCGTTTTTGATTTCTTGAGCAAAATTTGGTTGTAATATTGTGAATTCATTACAATGAATCATTTGTCATATCTGGTTTTTAACATGGTTTCCTTTACATGTTTTGACTTGTCTTTTATTTAGTCAGGTATTTTATATGTAATAGACCTTGGATTTGGTATCATCCGACCAAGAGAAGGTGAGGTATTTACCCATTTGTTTTTGAATAACTTTATGAGAGTAGCTAAGTTTCTTTGAAAGTTATTCTGGCTGGTTGTAGATGAGAATTCTGGATGCTTTGATACTGTATAACCAATATTTTACTGTACTAAACTAATCTGAATTACTGGTACATTGAAGACCATGGCATATGGGAGCTTGAAACTGATGGATTACACAATAAAATAAAAACTAAATCAGCTGCCAAGGAAACAATTTTATATGAACAGAGTTTAGGCTTGCATATGCACAGTTACGCTATCAAATGTTAATAAAACTCTCTGTAAGAGATTAGGCCACTCCACTGTCATAATGGCACTTTAAAAAGTGCTGAAACAATTTCAATGCTGCCATCTGCATATTTACTTCAATAAAATAAGGAACAAAGCTGTATTCTCAGAAACTGCAAATTATTATTTCTCATAACTGATAATGGACAAAACAAGAACAGAAATACAAAACTATGATAGCACAGTACAAGAATAATCTAACAACTCCAAGTTTGTGCAAGGACCGTTACAGAATGTTATCCTGCACGCACTATACTTTGTGGACATTTTTGTTAAAAAAAAGGATCTAAATTCTTATGAACTACTGTAAACAATACAAATATATCTTTACTATAATTAAAAGAAAAGTTCATATTACTTCCAGGGCCAATTTAGCAAACCTTAAAAAAATCATACAAATTACTTACAAGTCTGATAAACTTTCAAAAGTTCACAGCAATTACCATCACGACCAATTTGGTAAAATTAATTTTAAACAGTGAAGTAACAAATCTACATTATCTACAATTTCCAAGCCCTGATTTAGGTCATGTGAGTTGTCAAATTATGCCACTAACATCCAATTTTCTAAAGAATGCATAATTAAGAAATACATAGTTAATAGAAAGTCCGTCGAGTGTAACAATTTGTAGGTCACTTCTTTATCACTTCTGCCTTACATGTTTCGGTTTGACACAACCATCATCAGAGGCACTTACTACAATTATGTTTATGATAAACAATGACAGTGTTTTCATAATTGTAGTAAGTGCCTCTGATGATGGTTGTGTCAAACCGAAACATGTAAGGCAGAAGTGATAAAGAAGTGACCTACAAATTGTTACACTCGACGGACTTCCTATTAACTTTGTGATTGATAGTGTAACGGACCAAAAATGAAACAATTCAAAATAATACATATTTGACCCCAAATTACTCACTTATTTTTTATATTTATTCTTTCATTTCTGGAAATTCAAATCTTTTAAGCTTACTGCTATCTGTGGTTAACTGAATATTCTAATACTTGAAACATAGAATTTAACTACACAATATACATACTTCACTTTTAGACAACCAAGATCTTTAATAAACATTTAAAATAAAAAAAAACCATACATTATACTGTGTACTAATTTAGTATATTGATAACTGAGTTAATGATTTCAGGCCATAATCTAAGACACAATGTGGAAACACATGTTTGAACTAAGTTAATTAACGTAACAAAGACTTCCTTCAGTTTCCTGTGCACGTTTTTTCTCAACTACGAAATGGGAACAGTAAATATGAATTTTGCTTAAAGTGGAACCACACTTATAACTGTAAAGACGGAACCAAGAGTGTATACTGTGTCACCATCTGGCAGTCACATATGTCATTACATCACCATTAGGAAGTTACTAGATTGTACGCTTCTGCTTCTGCGCGATGGTCAGTGAATGGGGCACCCATTGAGCACAGACCTTTTTCATCTTCAAGTTCCGATGTATGATGGTGTGCTGGGTACCGTCTGGTGTGTGTGCTGTTGCTGGACACCCACTGCTTTTGTCATTTTCTGCACAGTCCTTGCCGTCTTTGAACTCTGCTATCCAGCGAAACATGGTTCTGCTTCCCCACATACAGCTGCTAACCTCATGTGAATGCATGAAGCAGCCACTCCTCCCCTCCAGAGAAACTGCACACTCCACCGCTGGCTGTGACTGTCCGAGTGTTGTCCACGACTGTTGCCAGCTTCCCACTGCAGGAGCCCACATTTGATCTCACATCAGCTCATGCTGGATTTGTGGTGGACATAGTTGTACTGGGGCAGGTTTTGTTGAGTACTTCACCTTCCCCTGCCAGTTCTCATTCTAACTGCTTCACATTCTTTAATCATCCAACACTGCATTCTTGATATTGACAGCACTGTTTAATAACCAACTTAAACAATATCACCACTTGAAAACTTGTCTACATGATTACTTATGGTTCTGTTATAATCTTTATGCTAGAAGGTTAGCACCAAAGTTCTCTGCATCTTAACCAAGAGTCAAAACTAGTAAGGGAATGGAACAAATCTTTAGTTCACTGAAGGAAGTGCCAGGTTACTAAAGCAAAGTCATCACTTGTAGATACAGCAAAATTTAAAGATTCATGAAATATGGCACAATTTCTGATTTTCTACAAGAGAAAAAATCTGCTGTTGTGGGTCATATCACTTTTCTGAGCGCACAGCAATGTCTTGACTAATGTTCCTTTAGTGATGCACTAGAAGAGCTACTGATTCATTAAAATGTTCATGCATTACTACACCTGGCTGTTAAGCTGATATCAAATTAATCTGTGTTATTTTCTAAAACACAATGCAATTACACAATTTAAATGACTCCAAGTTTCACTGTAAAGCAAAATAACAGGCGTGTGATTATTCCAGGCTCAAATAAAGAGAAAACAAGTTAAAGAGAGCTGTGCAAGGAATGATATATGACAGCTGTCAAACTTCAAACCAGTTAAGGGCTGCATTATATGCCGGGTACCTAGCTGGGTGCCACATTACAATAGAAATTTATTTTCTCCAATGTATCAATACAAATGTCTGCCCTGCAAAGCACACAAGGGCATTCATGAAATTTAAAAAACATTTTAATTAAATGGTGCCAAGTCGACAGTGCTTAAAAATCAGACTGTATCGACATTGCCTATAATCATGGAGACATATTAATTCCTTACTTTCCTATGTTACAAATTAAACATAGTATTGGACCAATTGTAAAATTACATAAAATATGCAGTAAGCAATTTTCATTAACTTTCTAGGCCAGATTCAGAGAGCTCTTCAAAGAGAAAGAATGGGTTAAACACACATTTTGAGGAACAGAAGTTAGAGTCTTGCAGGCCGCAAGTTGACAGCCCTCATATTGTAATTCACAGCAACATCATCAGTCCTGCACACTCAAAAAATCATCTCCACTTCAATGAACGGTATTTCTGTACATTGACCCAACATACGTAAGTCACTATACTGTAATTACTCCTGTTCCCAAAAGTTTGTCTTCAATTTTTCAAAGATTATGATGAAATGAACATGACCTTCTAAACTATTTATATTAATTTTGTAGATGGAGAATAAACATTCTGCTACAACTTCATTTAAGTATATCCCTAATGTAGCATGACTTCTTTGTAGAGTGAAGTCATCCAAATTGAGTAAATTTCAAGAACTAGTATAACTTGTGCCAAATAAATCTGCTACAGCATGGCGCACACACACTGAACCATGCTCACCATGGCTGCCACCAGCGTGCTCTCTGCAGCGATGCCTGGAATGTTTCTCTGTCCTGCTGACATGATAGGCCTTGTGCCATTCACTCACCACAATGCAGCATTAATAACATTGTTTCACACTCCAACAGAATTAATCACACAGCCCATGTGCACTGCTGTTTTTCATTCTGCACATCTTATTGTAGAACCTATGCAGTGTAAGTTCAGTGGCTATATGATACAATTCACTGACTGTTTATGTCTAATTCCAACGTGCCACAGTACCAGTGGCACAGAACTCCTCCCAGATAAAATGTGGTACTGCAAACTCCAGAAAAAGGCAGTACAGTTGCCATCACTGTTTCGCTAGCTTCACCTAGGGCTCAGTTAATTATGCAGGTGGATGAAATGGGACTGAAACACATTTTCTATTATCTAAAGCCCCAATGGTTAGTGACGGCAGCTACGTGCAAAGCCTCAGATTGGTACACTGTTTCCTGGTAAGGCAGCCTTAAGACTACGTTACATAAAAAGCACAGCAGAAGAGAGGACACTGGTGGCAGAAATTGTTCAACATGGGTTCTGCACAGACACTGACCAGATGGTAAACATGAAGGCTATGTTCCTCTCTGGAAACAAGGCTATTATGCATGAATACAGACTTTCCTACAAACATGGAGATCATGGTGCCACCATTAGATACTTCTCACACTGTTCTTGATCTCTGTAATGACAGTTCACAGCTGCTTTCATGTACCCTGCTAACAGTGCCACACCCTCTTGTGATGCATACTGTGGCAGGTTTACCTGGCTTTAGTGATACAGCATCATGGCTGTCGCAAAACACATATCAATACACAAGTACCAACACCTACAAAACATTCACACGTCTTCCTAAAATAGACACTATATGCAGTCTTGCTCTGCTGTCTGCAACAAAATAATTCTCTCACTTTATCAGCAGCTTTGTGAGTAGTTACAATTAAAATCATCAATAAATATCTCTTTACCCATCTTATTCAACCCCTCCCCTCAGAACATTTCATTAGTAGTTACAAGGTGTAATGTGATGTATGTGTAAGACATTTCTGAGCTTGTGTCATCATCATTAGATTTTAATTTCAACTTACGACGGGAATGGAAGTTATATCGCAGGTCTGCTATTTGGACTTTTCTTTATGTAAGGTGCCCATTCAAGGTATGACATAACCTCAGACATGTCTTAAGACACATAACAGAAATACAAAGATCACTCAATCCTGCATTTCCTGAATGGCAAGATAATACTCCCATCTGTCACATTAATACCATTTCTGCAAGATTACTTCCAAAGTAAAAAATTAACTAATCTTTTAATGTTCCACATTACGCATTAATCATGAAGCTACTACAAACATTATCATTTTCTACGCCGTGATACCATGCAGTTTGGTAGATAAATTTTCAGATGAATCTGTTGATTCCATCTTCAGGGTAGAATATTGCTAATGATCTACCTGACTACACAGTGTCTGATCTCTCTTCACGTAGGAGTTGAGGTTCTCTCCGCAGTGACTATGATGAGTATGGTCTCCAGGATTGATATGCCATGTAGCTTCAGGACAGCCTTATGTTCCAGAGGACCAGATCTTTAGGGTCGAACAGTAACCCAAGCTGCTCAGCTCACCACCAGCCTATGTTGATTTTTTGTTTGGCTTACTCTTCAACCCTGAAGAAGTAGGAAATATATTTGCCTGGAATGCCTCTGCCCCCACCAATGGTGTCTCCACCTTATCGTGGTGGTGGGGTTCGAGTGCTCCTGAGACCCTGAAACCTATGCTGGCAATAGAATAGTTATTGGTAGGGTCACCCATGTCAGACAGGTCAAGAAGTAGGAGCCAGATGAAGAGGGATACCCTGGTCCTCCAGTTTTGGGGTTGGTAGTGAGGCTAATAACGTCACATCATAAAAACTAAATTGTTCAGAAACCAGACAATCTGCCTCGGATGGATGGACGAAGAATAGAGACAGATTATTCAGGAGGACAAAGCTCACCCTGAGCTGTAGCGCCGAAGGGAAGGAAGGAATGTCTCTGAACTACACAGGAGACCATACTCTTCAGTGACCTTCACAGTCAGAGCGTCAAACCCTCAAGATGACATTAGGCATCTCCACATATGCAGCCATTAATTCTGAGGCCTCATTTAATATGGCACAAATACTGTTTAACGTAAAACTACATACGAACGAAGATACTCTTCAATCCAAACTCCATCCCACCAATCGTTCAAACAACCTTAAAGTTATGGATGGAAATTTGCATGCATGCATCATCATACTTGTCCATGTTACTAGGCTAATATTAGGTATTAATGCTCAGTATTTGCTCAAATGCTTTTATATTATACACGCCAGTGCAGCGGAGAGGCATCGCTACAAAAGAGCATGTATACAAAGACAACAGGCCCCATTACCTAAAAGCTGGACATAGAAATACATGACTACATTTTGCACGAGTAGTTAAATGTGCAGTTAAGCACTATAACACAAGCAGACTGTGGCCAGATAATATAAAAATTGACAGACCCTATAGCACTAAATTTGCTCAATACAGCTTCATAAAAAATTACAAATTGCCATGATATAATGAGGACCTGTTTCTCGTGCATCATAAAAATATTAACCAGCAGGAGATCAGAGACCAGAATGTTGGTGTCCCATCAACAGTACTTTATACCAGTCTGTGTGCGTCATAATTTGTTCTGATATACACCGAATTTATTTCTGGACTGCATTTCAGGTGCCTACCACAGTTCTCCGTCTTTTTCTTTAGCAGGGACTTCGATGACGCGAGGTTTATCGATGATTCGAGCTGTTCGGTTCCCTTTCTCAACGATGCCTATGATCCAAGCCTGGTACCCTTCTTGCTTCTCAATGTCTTTGCAATAAGCTGCAGCCTGTTCTCTCGGCAAGCAGATCAGTAAGCCACCTGACGTCTCTGCAGAATGACCTTGCAGCAGCTGGAACATGTTTCCGCAGGCTTTGGCCACAGCAGCCATCTTTGCTATGACAGGTAAGTTATGGATAACAAATGACACTTCATTTTTTTGATGTCTTGCCAAATTCTGTGCGTGCCCCAGCAGACCAAATCCGGTGACATCCGTGGCACCATGAGCGTTGTATTTGTGCATCAGACGTGCAGCAATTCTGTTTAATCTTGCCATGGAATCCATGCCTCTCTGATATGCTTTTCTGACATCATCTTCTGAAACAACAAGTTTGATTCTGTTCCATCTTTCTGGCTGATCCAGCCACTGGTGAGCATTTACAGCCACCTGTGTACCCAAGGGTTTGGTCAGAACGAGAACGTCTCCGACCACAGCATTGTCAGGAACGATGTATTCGTTCGGCTGGCAGACTGTGGAAGCAACTCCTCCGATCGTGCACCATGGATTCACTACCGTCTGTCCACCAGTCACTGTGGTACCAGCTTCCAGGGCTGAATCTTTGAATCCTCTCATTATGAGGGGCATCACAATATCGCGTTCCTTCTCAGTCATCTTGGTCGAAACCCCCAGAAGCATCAACATGTTATCGCATTCTGTGACACCCATCGCATACATATCGCTAAGCACATTTGCACACGCAATCTTGCCCATCATGTAAGGATCATCTACCAATGGATAAAAAAAGTCAGTAGTCTGAACAAGCGAGAGCCCACCATGTTGCAATGGGGTTACAGAGCAATCCATACCAATCCCAATTCTAGGAATTGCCATATGCATAAAGTGGGCATGTTCATCCTGAGCATGATCTTCGTCTTGCTGAAGTCCCTCCAGAAGCTTCGAAAGAGCCTCCTGGGGGACTTTACACCCTCATCCTTTTAGATCAGCAAAACGTGTCAGACGGAAAGATGCGTCCAACTCATGTGCCACAGGATCAAAAGGCCTTCTTAATGCTAAAGTATTTGGATTACCCTCCAACTCCAGCTGCGCAACCGATAAGTTCCTAACATTCACCGCTTGAAGAGCTTCCGGTGATATAGCAGCAGCTTGTAATTCAGCCATTGCAGCAGGATTCAAATATGCGTTGGTAATAATGGTTCAATACTTAAAATACAACCACACACACAAATAAATCTCTCTGTAATATTTTATATTTGCACAGTACCGCTTCAAACACTGCACTGATGCCGGCTTGCGTATACAACTGGAATGGCGTCTACCGTCCACGCTTCTACTTGGCTTCTTGGCGGCTTTTTGGCTTCAGGTTTACGATACACAACAAACGTTCCTTCCAACACAAAGCAACGGTTTCCGTGAGGAAATTTTCAATTTTTGCCGCAAGATGGCACACTTCCATGATCGGTTGCGTACTCTCTCGTCACATATGTGAACTGCTATTCAGTTCCCTCGATATCCGTCGACCCAGATGGCGAATCAGTATTCGCCGGCTGATAAAGTCCCAAATACAAAGTGAGTAGCGCGTGTTGCATGTTGTGTTACTTTTCATGTGACATTACTGAAGCAGAGACATAACCTATAAATATTATTCTACACTCGCATATACCGTTTACCCATTCTCTTGATCTGAATGAACTGTATATAATGCAGTTACATTTAACACAAGAAAATGGCTTAATGAACTACAATTGACTTCTGCTAGGATGTAAGAATAACATCGTAATGTTCGTTTCTTCACACTTATGAAGATCCTGGATTTAATGGAAACTCTACTATTCCCAAAAAATATTAGGTAAGTGGGTCACTTCAGATAATTTCGTATTCGAGTTGCTAAATATGTAAGTAATGTCGGAAACAATGACGCCGAGGCTTAGTAGAAGCATTGAAAGCAGTTCGAACATACAGAACATTAGTGCTTTCGTTTAAATTTTCAAACTACATGCTTATATCGGAGTTGTTATAAATAGGCCTACATGTGCTACAAAGTCTCTCTTTTACAAGACAGACTGGGAAATGGTAATTATTTCTTAGAGTGTATTAGAAACTTATTATGTTGGCTCCTGGCAGTTTAATATCATGGAGTTAACCGTGCCCTACAAAATATGTATGCTGGTGCAAATTACTACTAATTACGTATTTTCAAACACCTTTTTTCCAAATTTAGTTATTAAAGTTTTAGCCTAAAAAGGCGATGTGTACTATGTTTGAAGTCTGTTACCGTAGTCTTATAGCCGGGCTAGCGCATTCGGTATAGCTACTGGACGACAGAAGAGTCTGAGTTCGAGTCCCGGAAGGACTAAGAATTTTCTCTTCTCCACGTCGTCCATGCCGCCTCTGGGACCCACCGAGCCTTCTATATGATGGGTACGGGGGGGGTTTATTCCCCGGGGGTAAAGTGGCCGCTGCGTGAAGCTATGACCGGGGCCGACTCAGCCTCTAACAGAAATGAGCACCAGGAATCATCCTGGGGCTTAAGGGCGGCCGGCGCGTAAGGCTGACAACCTCACCACTATCTATGACCCGATTGTCTAGAAAATGTGGGAGCCTCGGCGTCTCACAACCCTGTGGGCCACCACGGCCTATTACAGGAATATCTTTACCTTTTTTATCTATTGTCATTTCGAACCATGGTTGTAACAGAAAGTTTTCATTAAACCAAATTTATTATATGAAATGCTGACAAGAACACTTTTCCTATATCAATCAGTAGTTAACTTGTGGCATATTCTGGCCCTAGAATCAGTATTTGTGTTCGTGATTATTGTTAATTTGAGTTAAGACTTTCTGGTCTCGGTTGTCCCATTCATTGGAATAAACAACAGAATTCCGTACAGCGCAATTTTAAAATGATCAGAAATTCTATCACAATTAAGTTTACATAGTTATGCCAAGAATAGTCGTCATATTCGGCATGCTATAAAAGATGGAGCATATTATCGTATGATCCCTTAATTTGAACAGCTTGTGCTACTAGAACTCAAGGTAATTGTTTCGATTGTGGAGTAACACAGCTTTCAAACTCAACTTCGAGGAATCGATAATAGGCGCCATTCCTTTGGGTCAAATTCTCGGGTCAAGGGATCCCACGAGAGAGTGAGTGCACACAACACACAAATTTGCTTCTGACGCTTATGGAACGAGATGTCCTAAGCTTTTTCGCTGCAATGTTCCAATCCATCAATCTTAAAACCGAAAGTTCGCACTGTTTTTTTTCGATCAATTCAGATCAAGGATAAGGACACACATGTCTGCTTCAGACACTAAACGATTCTCTGTGGAGGAGTAAGATGGTTCGGTTTACTGGAAATTAAGAAAAAAGAAACGCGAATAAAATACACCAGGTAGGATTTGAGGTTCTCACAGCGGTGGTTATGAAGAGTCTTCGTCTGGGTTATAACGCCATGTAGACTGTTGAAAGTCAATCTACGTTTCAGAGGAACGTGTCGCTTCCATCTTCAGGGCCCAACAGTAAGCCGAGTAAGAAATAATAGTGAAAGCTCTGTTTTCAACCTGCTTTCACACTCGCTTCTTGCTCGGTTTACTCTTCAATACTGATGATGGAGGTACATGTTCTCTCGAAACGTCGGTTGACTTTCAACAGGCTACACAGCATTGTATCCCAGAGGACAGAACTCTACAAAACACATCAGGTTCGCTGAGTAAAATCAGGTCGGGCGTATGAGCTGTGAAAATGCTGAACAGGTATTCGCGTGTCCTGAAGCAGTTAAGCACGTAATGTCACAAAGCATTGGAGTAGAAAGTGTCACATTACTCCGCCTTCCTAACTGACTAACTAACTAACTAACTAACTAACTAACAACTCCTTGGGGCTGAGTCCTTCTTGTGAAGCCGCCAGCCGCTCAGCTACTTAACAATTTCGTAACATTTTATGGAATCCTAAGATTCATTACCGTGTTCACGAGAGCCCTCCACTGGTCCCTATCCACAGCCAGCTCAATCCAGTCTAAACCACCCCATCCTACGTCCTACATAGATGGTGTTAATTTGTGCGACTTTCAAAAAAATATAGGCAATAGAAAAATACTGTTTACATTTTCGTAATCTGCAGAAAAAATACACAAAACTCAGATGTGAATGACTGTGAAAAAACACTGTGGAGTAATTTTTATTATTGTAAGAGTCTTCCCTTGTCTTTTTCTCAACCTTGTACAGAATACCATATTTGGATTTGAGGTACTCACAGCGGTGGTTATGAACAGTTTTATCTTCTGGGATATAACTCCGTGTAGTCCGGTGAAGTTAACCGACGTTTCGGAAAAACATATCGCCTCCAAAAATCTTTCTGCATATTTCATGCTTGACTTACTCTTCAGTCCTGAATATGGAGGAGATATGGTCTTCTGAAACGTCTACTGACTTTCACGGGACTGCACGGTTTATATCCCAGAAGACAGAACGTTTACTATTGTTAATTGTGTTGATATTTCATAATTGTCATTAATATAGCTAAGTCTGTGAATCTATGGATATGTCGTAAAGAGCAAGGTAAGCGTTAACAGTTGAAAGCTTCCTGGTTACTATATGTACTATGTGTTTTAACGTTAAAGAACTTTGCATTCTGCCCACACAGTGTATTTATGGGTTCCGTATGATTCTCACAATAAACAGCGACTGTTTCCCCACACAGCATTAACCGGTAGGGCTTTGTAACGAAGACGTAATGTGTTTCCTGCGAGATACGAACTGAAGTCTTATATATAAAGTCTCTGCATTCTGCCCACACGGCGTATTTGTGTGTTTCGTATGGTTCTCACAATAAACAGCGACTGTTTCCCCACACAGCATTAACCGGTAGGGCTTTGTAACGAAGACGTAATGTGTTTCCTGCGAGATACGAACTGAAGTCTTATATATAAAGTCTCTGCATTCTGCCCACACGGCGTATTTGTGTGTTTCGTATGGTTCTCACAATAAACAGCCAATGTTTCCCTAAACAGCATTAACCGGTAGGGCTTTGTAACGAAGACGTAATGTGTTTCCTGTAAGGTACGGACTGAATTCTCATATATTGTTTAGCCTGTGTGCGCTTAACAGCTCAGGGATCCGTGCTATATGGCTTGATACATTGCAATGGTTCATCCTAAGATAAAAATGGTAATTACCATAGCCATGACCCGGTTTCTTGTCCGCTAGGTTGTTACGAATTTGTAGTTCAAGTTTAAATACCGGTTTTGTGCTCTTAATGAGTGTCATAAAGTCTGGTTTTACAGCGCTAATGATTGTAATAATCCAGGGACAGATAAGTTCACAATCTACTTACAACATTAATAATTACATCAGTGAACAAGGTTACTATGGTAACATAAAAGGAAACTTACATCTTAAAGCTATTCCGATACACCAGTTCCAAATCTGGGCATAGAAATGTTGCATTGTGTCATAATTTGTTGTTATGTTGAATTCTGAGCCAACATAGCGCGTCTTTTAAGTTCGCATGTGAGTAATATGAAGGAGGAGGTAATACAGTACAGACATTCTGACGCGTTTATATGTTTGCCACCTCCCTAAACATGAAAAAGTGGATTTTGGAATACCCTCAGTCTGTATGGATATACGTCTCTATTTGTGTATAGGCGTATGTGTTCCTCGCTAGTCTCCGGAAGGTTGGACGGATTTTACTTGTATTCGGTGTTTAAAGAGTTCATCCTGCATAGGTCAGAGCTCAGTGAATACGAAGATTGTGATGCTAAAAGTAACTGACTTTCAAAGGGGCCCCCAAAGTCAAAATCGTGATTTTCTCCAAAATGCCTCTAGCGAATTTGATTAAATTTCAGTAATGCATGGGTACCATTTCCCTAAATGAAACAGCACAGGCGGTATCTTCAGGAAAGGAGGGCACACGCACCAGGGCCACACCAGGGCCTCGAAATCGGCGTTACCGGCCGGTCGGATTTTGTTGTTCAGCAAGTAATAACGCTCACCTGAACAGCAATAGACTTCGTTTCGAGAGTACCGTAGTCAGGCACATTCTATATAGCTAAGTATCTGAGCAGTGTATTTGCACCGAATTTTTCGCTTTGTGTTTTTTCTTTGTTATTCAAGGCCGCACCATAGCTCAAGCGGATAGTCGCTGGCTTCCAACCGCGGCGGCCCGGGTCTGGTCAAGTGGAATTTGTGGTGGACAAAGTGGCGCTGGGGCAGGTCTTCCCCGAGTACTTCGGTTTCCCCTGCCTGTCTTAATTCCACCAAATTCTCCATCTTCATAATCACCTGGGGTAGGCTACAATAGACCAATCAGTGGCTGCCGTGCCGAGTGGACCCAGCTGGACTCCACACCCCACTAAGCGAATTAGAAGAAAATGTTGTTATCATTCACATAATTCTTACCAACCATAATGAGACACAGAATTGTACACGTAGTGAAGAAAGGCCATTCTGTAAAAGTTCATGACGATGGTACCTTAATGAGCAGTTAGTTTTCTGGATATTATGCTTCGTCCAACCTCACCGCCATCTGTCAGCCGACTGTCTAGAGAAAATGTGGGAGCCTCGACGTCTCACAACCCTATGGGCCTCCATGACCTGTTACAGGGATAGCTTTACCTTTTTACAGTCATCTAATTTGTATTTGGAAAACGTGTTTCGGAGGTGATTCTGTCTTCATTCTCCAGTAAAAAGATGTATTGATAGAGTTAGTCCCTATCTCCGGAGACACGGACTGACCCTATCGATTTGACCCAGCTCAGCAAGCTTCTCATGTGCAGGCGCCGCCTCCGAAACGTCATTTTTAAATGAAAGTTGCGACGATGGAAAAGCCAAGAAAATAAATAG